ACTCAACTGACATGAAATGAGTCATTGAAATCCATCCATTAGCAATCTCAGGTGGCATAGGCTTTGTTGATTCTTTACCAAATATTCTATTCCAATTTGTTTCCCCTATCATTGAAATAAAATAGTCATGAACTGTTACTGGACAACAATAAGGGCTTGTAGTAGTAATCTTTGCAGCTTCCATATCAGAATTCAAGAACACATCCTTTGCCAATGTCAGTAAAAATCGTGCAACAAGTTCACCACACACACCTCCATCAAGCATTCCCTTTTTCATTGCATTATCCAATATATCAAGTGTGTTTTCTAGAAATGAATCTCTTAAAAGAATTTCTGTTACTGCATTTACTAAGATTGGTTCAGAGAAGCACATTGCTCCAAGTCTGGATTGATCATCACTCACATGTACACAAATACCCATATTCTTGGCAACCATGTTTGTTGCAGTATGTTGATCAATTGTATGTAGATTGATTGAAATTTTGAATGCTACAAGTGATAGAACCTCTTCAAATGAAAGTTTGTGATATGAATATGCATGGTGATTTCCTGTAAAAAGTTTATCTTGTGCAAACCTTTCTATTTCCCTTCCTGGAATACCTGCATCAAATAATGCCTTCATAATGGATGTCCATATACTATGATATTAGCAAAATCAAACAACTTTACTACCTTATCAGCAGAAACCTCCTGTGTTTTATGTATAAGTTCATCAAGTGTGGGTGCATATATGTCAAAGGTAGGAAATGCAAAGAATGGTGGGAACAGTTTCCAAGATTCCTGTTGCTCTTGAGGTCGTAATGAAGGATCAATACCAAGAGGTGGTGAAAAAATTGATAAGTTTGATGTAGTATCAGAAAATAAAGCAAAAAATCCCAATGGAAGACTCCGAAGACCACGTTGTACACCAGTAAAGACTGGGCTAACTTCATGTTCACCCTCAATGTTAATCATTGTCCATGCTTCATCAAAAGCAAAGAGCACACTCACATTATGAATAGTGTCTGTTGTAAAAGTTTCATGAATGTATTCAAATTTGTCATTCAAAAGTTTCTGCATTTTCCATTCAATGTCAACATATGTTTCATTCTCATATTGGCTAAAATAATCTTTTGAATACTCTTCTGCTTGTTTGGTCCAAAGATCTATATCAAACTGCTTTGCTTCACTCAATGCATCTTCACCCCAAAGCATGGCTACCACTCGTTTCACCTCTTGTCTAACCTTTTGTATATCTTGTATGGAACATAAATGTTCTAACAATACATAGACAAAATACACTAGGCATATTTGAAATATCTTTTCAACATCATATGTGGAGTTTGAATAAGTTGAATGTGTTATAGTAAAATAATTATGCAATTTGGGATGTCCACGAGGATAAGAACCAGATCTAGGATTGTTCACATTAATATAAAAAACATAAAAGTCTCCAGTTTCTGCAAATCTGTGTAGCATGCAACTTTTTCCAATTCCTGAACTTTGAAACATTGTACAATATGGGGCATAATAGAGCTTTTGATGTTCATGCCATTCCTTTCCACATGCTTCTAAATAATCCTCAAACCCTTTCAGTAAACCATAATCTTTGTATTCTCTCCCAAATGCAAGTACAACAGCATTAACAACACTATCATTAACATGTTGGTGATCATGTTAATAATATTCATAATAATCTATAACAATTGAATAAATAATTCCCCCCCCCCATTGTTAATAATTAAACAAACATATTTTACCTTATTACAAATTTTTGCTTAGTTAATAGGAAAAGCCATTGTGAATTGTTCCATGGTCCTCTCTGATGATTAGTGGCTGGCCACTAATCATTGGTTAAACCCCACCCCCCATTTGATTGTTCTATGCTGCTTGTAGGGATGCCTCAAGTGGTATAGTTGTAAATATTTCTTGTATATATTCTTTTTATTTTATTTATTTATTTTAGGCTTGTGCCAGCAGTACTTAGCATTAGTACTGTAGAGAGAGAAATTGTGCAATAAAGAGTTTTGAGTAGGCTCTGAGCTGTGTGCTGATACAGAGGCCTGAGATAGAGAATTGAGAACCCTGAGCTGTGTGCTGCTGATACAGGAAGATTTATATATTGGAATTTTATATTTATTTTATCTTATATATTTATTGGACACATCACAAGCTGTATTTTGCATGCTTGCAGTGTGTTTATTAAATTGTGGTGGACCATACAAAGCTGACTTTACCAAACATGCATCTGACGAATTCCATCTTAAAAGAGTTATGAAGGATATGTTAGATAGCTTAATTATCAAGTTTCATGAAGCCGCAATAAATGATTCTGGTCTTTATGTTTTAGGCATTCAGGTACAAATTTACAATAATTAATAGAATCAATTTACATAGAATATTAAATAATGTGTTCTATCCTTTTGCTTTAGATTTATTTAAATAAGATATCAATCTATGTTATGGACAAACAAGAATTATACAATTTCATCTTTGCAGAAGATTTCACATGCCTTTGACTTTCACATCTTACCATAGTTTAAAAACAGCAATTAAATGTGCTTGGAACTTGAGAGTAAGCTTGTTCACTCTATCAGATAATAATATTGGTATGTTTTCATTCACTTATTTGATTCAATTATTTAGGGATTGGTAAACAACTTGGTAGATAGGCTTAACAATCTTATCAATATTGACATTGGAACTCTCCCTCCAAGATGTCCTCTAAACATTATGAAAACACCACATTTGCCACCAAGGAAAAGGAAAATAAAAGCACCTAAAGATTATGAAAATAATTAACCATCATATTTACTATATAACCAAGAAATACTTATAACTTATTATTCTTATTGTTGGCATTTATGTGTTTACATATGCTAATTGATAAAAAACAATTTAATATTTTAATGAAATTAATTACCTTGTAAATTTTTAATTAAATAAATTGTTAAATGCATGAATAAAAAAATCATTTCTCATTGCCAAATCTGAAGTAGTCAAAATTAGATTCAAAAACGTTGGGTTCTTTTAATATGAATATAATATTTAATATTGCGAGGACTGAAGAAGTACTTTTCCAAAAAAGGAAATCATCGACCAATGGAACACAAAATTTATATTTGTTCCCAAATAATATTTTATATTTTGAGAGAAATGTCGATCAATTTACTAGAAATCTGTTCTGATATGTTCGGAGCCTTATTAAACAGACACTATTGCCCCTGAAATTTTTGGTAATGCCAATGTTCACTTTGTCTGGTTTTGTTGCAGTATGCCCCATGTAAGAAAAAAAACTAGTGTATAAAGTTGTGTGGATCCCAGTGGATTCTTAAAATATATATTCAAAAGAATTCATTTCAATTATTATAATCAAAATTTTGTTTTTAAAAATTTTTTTTCATAAGCACAAGTATCAATCACGTCAATCCATTCTGCATTTGCAACATATGAATTGATCGGCAAAAGTGTTCCAATTTTTCCAGATTCGATTTCCATATTTGGAAATATCCCTGACAGTATTACAAAATCTGTAAACCAAAAAAACGGTAATTATTTTTTTTCCATGATTTTCGTTGATCGATCAATAAAATAATCGATAAAACTTTTTGTAGAAATCATCATGGCAGAAACAGTACAATTTTATCTTGAACAAATGGTACCCGAGCTCGAAGATTTGGAAAGAAAAGAATTATTTTCTAATGTATACATATATTATTTTTCACTACAAGAATTCATTACATATATTTGTATTTATTATTGAAAAGTTTTTATTTGAATGTTTTAGGCTGAAATCAAAAATATTGTCAAAAAGAGAACACATTTTGAATATGCTCTTAAAAGAAGACCAACTAGAAAAATAGATTTTGTGAATTATATAGAATATGAAAAGGATTTAGAACAACAACGTAGAAAAAGAAAACAACGTTTTGGTAGAATTACAATTATGATTATTATTGTTTATAGGATTTATATATTTAGAGATCTGAACATACAAAAATAATCCTTGATGTTCTTTTTTTTTGCAAAAGGTATAAAAGGAAAAATATCGCTATCAGATTATTCATTAACACGAAGAATATTTAATCTTTATAATCGAGCAATTACAAAATTTCACGGTGATATAGAATTATGGTTACAATATATAGAATTTGCTAAATCTGTTGGCGCAACAAAGTTGATTGGTAAGATCTTTGGAAGGTAGGTAGATAAATAAATATTTGTTGGTTATATTATTATAATGATGATAATGATGATATATATGTATATATGATTTTACAATTTGTACATTATTATTTATTCATTCATCAAAGTGCTGTACAAACACATCCTACCAAACCCATTTTTTGGATTCTTGCAGCAAAATGGGAATTCGAAGAAAATGCTAATATATCTGCCTCTAGAGGTATTTGCAGCAAATTAATTTTGTGATTATCTTTTCTTGATAATAATAATTAATTAATATATTTTAATCACAAAAATCACCAAATATATATATAAAGTTTTAATGCAACGAGGTCTTCGTTTTAATCCAGAAACAATTCAATTTTGGCATGAATATTTTAAGTTGGAATTAATGTATATTGAAAAAATAAAGAAGCGTCGTAGAATCTTAGGAATCTCATCTAGTGCAATAGCAGAAGCATCATCAGAACAACAAGAAGAAGTAGAGGGAGAAGAAAAACCAAATGCTGAAAACGTGATAATGCTACAGAAATTAACTGGTGAAGACATACTGTCAGAAGATGAAAATTCAGATATGCATCTTGATAAAGATCAAATAAATTCATTAAAGGAAGATAACAATAGAGTGTTGCAAGGTGATATTTCCATAGTAATATTCTTTAATGCGATCAAAAGTAAGATTTTCTTTAATTAAATTTGATTCTTAATTGCTTCATATCAATGTAGGCATAATTAATAGGTCATGTTTATTTAGATATTCCAAATAATCTAAGCTTTCGTCAACAATTTATTAATATAACACGTGAATTTACTGACGTTGAAAAAATTCAAAATGAGATTTACTCGAGGTAATTTTCTTTAATAATATCATATTTTCTTGAATTCAATTGCAAGGATTAAAAAAAATTTTTTTTTAATAGCATTGATAAAGACTTTGGGAATGATCCACAAGCTCAAACTTATATTGCTGAGAGACATGTATCAGATATTTTAGAAATTGATGATAGTGTAGAATTCATGTCTGCCATAGAAAAGAGTATTAATGATTTTGATAAATATATTCAGGTTAGTTGAAATTTGATATTATATACATATATATATATATATTCCAGTTATGAAATTATTGTATCATATTTATACAATTAATACGAAAAAATTTTAGACTTCAAAAAATAAGGAAATCGTGTATTTATATACTCAATTTATGAGGAAATATATAGATAAAGTTTCTAAATTACCCAATATAGTAAGGAATCTTTTATGAATATGGTTTTTGATTTTTCCTTGGCACTAATTTTCCTTTTTTTTTTTAAAAAAGCACGTGTATCTTACAGATAAATTAATTGAAATTTACAAATTTGCCAATGAATCAAATTTAGCATCAGAGAAATTGTATATTGATTGGATTGATTGGATGTTGTTGCCAGAAAGTCGAAAAGAACCCGAATTGAAACAAATTGCCAAAAGAAGTACTGATATTTATCCTAATTGCGCAGAACTTTGGAATATGAGAATCAGGATTAATGATAACATGTCATTTGAAGAAGAAAATCAAGATTTTTCAACAGAAAAATTGTATGAAATTTCCATGAAAAAGAATCCAATTTCTTCAGTATTATGGGATTCCTATCTTAATTGGATTCATAATTCATGGAAAAATAGAAATATAAGCGATAACGATATGGAAAATCTTTTAATGGTATGTTATGTGTTATGAGAATTTAATGATTTTTTCTGAATTTTTTTAATCAATTTATTTATTTCAATAAACTATCATTATAGTCATCAACTCTTAAAATATCATCTATGCCATTTGTTAGTAGTGTAAATAAAAATTATAATCAATTAAATCAAATAAAACAAAAGGTTACTGATCAATATCTTAAATGGTCAATGGAAGTAGGTGGCATTGAAAAAGTTCGTGCATTATATAAAAGGTGAAAAAATATATAAACTTATAAAAAACTTTTATTATTTATTTATTTTTTACTAATTAAATTATTTAACAGCTTATTTAGAAAAACATTGTTACCACTTTCATTCTACCAAACATGTATAAATATAGAGAAAACACATACAGATTCATCTAGCGGTAACAGCAGCAGCAACAACAACAACAATGATAATATACAAAATTTAAAATGGGTTTATGAGCAAGCATGTGGTTCAAAAGATGCACCAGATGGTTATTATTTTATATATTTATTTGGGGAAGGGATTTTATTTTTTGAATTGGAATTAACGAAAATTTTTTCCTTATAATTGTGATTGTAGATCTTTGGCTGGAATATATAAAGTTTCTTATTGATAATAATGAAATTGAACATGCAAATAGTATGTGTTGGGAAGCAATACAAGTAGTACCAAATCCTCGACAATTTAAAGAAAGATATAAAAAAATAAATACTAATAATATTTCACAGTGATAAATTTTCTCTTTTAATTTTATATATTTAGCAAAGAATCATTCATCCATTAAATCAGTAAATTATTATTTATTTATTAAAAAGGCTACCTTTTATTATCTACTATATAAATAGGTCATCACGTTTTGGTATTTCTTCACCTTTTTGTAAATATAAAATTTCAGCTATGGCTTCATGAACCTAATTGAAGAATATATAAGTCAGAGGTTATTATATAAACATATATCACTATCGATTTTGAATGTTTTGTACCATTGCGATATGTGCACTAATTTTTGCTATATCATCAGTGTATTTTTCAGATTTTCTACAAGATTGAAATATATATATATATAAACATAAACATAAATAATAAGATCAATCAATCCATTATTTATTTAATTTGGTCACCTTTGTAACGTTTTTTCTTTTTTATCAATGAATTCGATTGCTTCATCCAATGTTAGTTGAGGATGAAATCCAAATCCAACGTTAACATAAATATAAGTAGTATCAGGTCTGCACATACGTATTTATATATACGTGTATGTAAATATTTAGAAACAAAAAAAAATTGTTGTCTAGTAAATAGTAAGATTACATACACTTTTGCTTGAACATAAAAATTTGAACCTAAATCAACCATAGTTTTAAGTTGATTTAATTTACTTGACTTCATTAATTGAATATTGTTTCTTAATTTAACACTTTTTTATTGATGAAAACATATATTAATAAAGAGAAAGAGAAAGAGCATGTTTAAAAAAGTTAAAAAGCCAATCATTTTTCCATTCATAATAATAATAATAATAATTAAAACAATACTATTCTGAAATTTCCTCATAAATCTTTTCACGTAATTCCCAAGTTTTCTTTAAATCAACTTCTAACTTGTCGTGTAAGAAACTTTTATATTGTGCTATTTTCTTTTCAATATTTTTTGTTTCCATGATTTATTTACCTACACTACACGTGTAACATTCACTTAAGCATCAGAAATTTTTTTAAACTTGCACTTTTTAATTAATTAATTAAAAAAAAAAAAAACAGTTACTTACAAAGACTCATTTACTTGAGGTTTCAAGGAACATTTTGACATCTTTGTTTATAATAATCATAAAATCCACAACACCAGGTGCATCGGAACCCATATTTTCACCTTTAATCCTTCTTCCCAAATGTCCCTTATTATTAAAAATACTATTGCTCCAACCAGCTCCTATAACACCATTAACAAGGATCATTTGAATAACAGGAACATATCAATGTACAAAGTTCTTTGTGATGAAGATCGGTAGGTTTCCGACAGTATTGGGAAAACTATTACTATGTAAAATTAAAATATTAATGCGAATCTCGAAAGTTGATTGGTGAATTTTTTCTGTGGGAAAAACTAACAAAAAGGTATTGATTGGTCTCTTACTTTTATCTTCTTCATATTAGGGCCTCGATAATTATAATTGAACTGGTATATTAGTATATTAATATATGTAAACTCTACTCAAATATCTTGCTAAAATGGTAAGATAGTTTCCTTTTTTTAAAAAATCCAAAATTTTTACGAGATCACTACCCCATATTCACCAATTATAATTATTCGAGGTCGGTCACAATCATCATATTAATATTCATCTTTTATTAAAAATCAAGTGATTGACATATGGTTTAATTTGACGACGATCTGTCTATGAATGAGCGAAATATTGATCCTTTTTACTATTAATATTAATACATTAATTATATAAATTATACTTGCCACCCAAAAAAGGCAAACTCTTGGATTAGGTATGAACTTGGAATATATCTTTAATGTTAATGATCTGCAAAAATCATCCAATCACGTGATAAAATTCAAATTTAAACTTTTTCTCATTTGCTTTTTTTAAAGTTTTAGAGTTTTGAAATGATTTCAAAGTTTTAAAATAGTTTTGGAGTTTAAAACAGTTTCAAAGTTACGAAATAGTTTTATTTGAATAAAAGTTCAAATCATTTGAGTTACTGAAAAAATCTTTTGTTATTTTAATCAGTGGTTGTGTTAAAATTTTTCATTTGTTAATTAAATCAGGTGTTGAAAATTTAATCGGTACACAATATAAAAAAATAAAAATTATGAATGAAATTTTTTTTTAATAATGTTATCCACTATTACACTATCATCAACATTGTTTCTATTGTAACAATATAATGCCAAGTAATATGAATACCCAACTATGTCATTATTAGATAAAAAAACAATTATGCATTGCAGCAACTTCTACTCCAAGTGAGCGTCTATTTAATGAAGCCGGAAACACGATGACAGCTAAACGAACAAAATTGTTGAATCCATTGTTATTTGAAAGGATCGTATTTCTTTGCAATGTATTGAAAATATCTTTCTTGATGAATAAATAATTGTCATTAAATTTATTATTATATTTTTTTAAATAAATTTAAATCAATGAATATTCAACGGATATCCAGTGGATATTAGTATTAGGCGGATATTTGGTGAATGATCGATTATCCGAATAATCGGTGAATACTAATATCATTAGGTGGATACAACAATTAATTTTAATGACATAGAGACTATATATTATTCCAAGAGCAACCCTTTGTTTTCGATATTCTTTTTTAAAAAAAATATGCATAAATATGTTCCTTGGCATTTGTTTCATAAAAAAAAATTTTTTTGTATTACCATTTTTTTTAAATACAAAAGTTGTCAATTAATAAAACTTCCTCTGCTGATACTTGCTTAGAGTTCACTTATTAAATAGACGAATGGTCAATTAATAAAACTTCATCTGCTGATTCCTGTTTAGAGTTAACTTATTAAATAGAAGAATCAAAAACACAAAGCTGTGTATAACATAATAATAATACATCACCGCATAATAATAAAATTCCATTAAATGTAACGCAAAAAATTAAAAATTTAAAATAAATAAATTTTTGGGATTTTTGATGTGCAACACTCACCCATTCACTTTTTCAACAGCTTCAAAAGTCACGTAACCGTAAATTATGAATTTCCCTCTCAAGTTGGCGCTGTGGCGTAGAAAGTTACTATCACTAGCACTTTTTAACAACAGTGTTTTCCCGTTTCTGTTAGTAATGATGGTGATCATAGGTTGCTTTTATAGTTCTGGTAGTTTAAAACGTATTCTATGATCTTAATTATCACAATGAACACCAAATCATTGAAATATCAATTTAAACAATTTAGCCAAGGAATGTCTTTGCCAAGAAGGTCCATATATAAATAAATTATGCGGCTGAACATCCTTTAAGGGAATAACATTAATTTATGTAAAATTTTTCCTCTAATAGTATAGTTTGAAAATATATATTAATCAATTAAGTGAATAATAGATTGTGACAATGATTTATTTTTATCCTGGAACATACCATTTTGATCAAAAAATTAAGAAGATCTGCATTGGATTTTTAATTGAAGTTCACAGTTTAGCCAATCATATACTAGTATTTGCCATGCACTGTTTGTATTATTATTATTTAAATATTCAAGTGCAAAAATCCCTTTTAATTGGCCAATTTTTTAATTTGAATTGCAATGCCAGTATAAATAAATGTTTGAAAATATGAATAATAAAGAATTCTCCATACAGAATTTTTCTTATTTTCAAAAAAAATAATTTTTTCTAAAAAATCGTAAAGATGGTATTCAAAATTACATATAGTTGTAAAATAACATTAATAATATCGATAATAATTAGTATTATAATAATATATAGGCTGAATATAGTTGTAGATGCTTTACCGACACAAAATAAAGATAATAAAAACATAAAAATAAGGGATGTATCAAACGATATATTCAAAGAGTATTATATAGAGGACGATTATATAAATTTTCAAGTTATTGGTGATTGGGGTTATCAAGGAAAAACTGATAATAACACTTTTTACGGCGAAGATCAATTGAAAGTTGCTCGAAATTTAGAAAAATATGCTAATTTACATGATACTAAATTCATTATAAATGTTGGCGGTTAGTTAAAAAAAATTTTTTTGTCGTTGCAACTGAAATTGTTGATGTAATAACAATTTTTCGAAAAAATTATTTTTCACAATATTTAGATAGTTTTTATAAAAGTAATAAAGACGATTATCAAGGTGTCGAGAGCGTTGAAGATGAAAAATGGAATACTACTTGGTTGAATATTTATAAAGATAAATTAAGCGAGATACCTTGGTATAGCGTCGCCGGAAATCATGATTGGTAAGTTAATTTTGACTTATTTTTTCCGGAAATTTCGCGAATATTAACGCTAACATTAACATATTAATATTATTGATTCATAGGTACAATGATATAAACGCTCAGATAGAGTATAGCTTAACAAAAAACTCAAGATTCTTTCTACCCTCACTATTCTATGCTCGATTGACCACCTTCGGACAAAAGAATACAGAAATAGCATGGATTCACATCGACACTAATTTATTTTTCTACGAATATAAAAATATCAATGAAAAAAATGTTCAATTTGCGAAAAATTTCCAATTTTTTGGTTGGGATGTTAACGAGGAAAATAAAATCGAGGAAAAGTTGAGATGGATTGAAGAGAAATTGATTGAATTTCAAGATGTTAAATGGATTTTTGTAGCTGGTAATTATTATATGTAAAAGATATCCGCAACTGCAATTTTGTCGGCAGGTTGGGATATTTAGAAATCAATTTGGTGATTGCGGATATTCTTTGAATACTAAAAAAAAATTTTTTTTATAGGACATCATCCGTTAATTGGAGATTGCTCAGAAACTTATTACATGCCAGAATTATTATCTTTGTTACAAAAATATCGTGTTACAGCTTATTTATCAGGTCACGCACATGTATTAGAATTAAAATTACCAGATTCAAATAGCTCAAATAAATTGGCTCGATTTATTTCCGGGGCAGCTAGTAGAACAAGTTCAGGATGTCCGGGCGAAAAGGATTGGGGCATGCCAAAAGGTACACTTGGCTTCTTACATTTCACCATAAAAGATGACGATGATTATTTAAATTTTCAATTTGTTGACTCGACAACTGTTAACGATAAAGTTGTTTATGAGAACAAACTAAAATCAATTCCTATATGGTATCCTAAATAGGCATCTAATAAATTATTAAAATTAGACAGATAAAAACCTTGTAACCTTTTTTTTCATTTTGACTTCTCTAAACGGTTTCGGGTGAGAATTTGCTCCAAGCCCAAACCTAAACTAGTTTCGGGTGGTTCAGTTTTCTAAATTAAGTTTCGGGCTACGGCATTATTGCTTTCTTTGGTTCTTTTCGCAATAACCTGAAACATTGTTTTTTCAATAAACAGCAAAAGATAAAATCATTTTATGGATAGATCGGTGTTACGCGTATTGCGCCCTTCAAGCTTTTAGTCATCCAAATTTGTTAATGATCTACATTCAATAGCTGGAAGTTTTCAAAATAAAAGATTTGGCAAAGAAAACCCGAGCGAAGAAACCATTGTTCTTAATTAGCTTAGTCTCCTTTTTGGAAGGAAGAAATTTAGAATTATTTTTGTCCGATCACGTAATTTTGTTTTAATGATTAGAATTTTTATCTATGCTAATAAAAACACCTTACAGATATAGTGGTCTACTGTACGATATAACTGGGTTGGGTTTCCTATTTC